GGTGGTTTGGCCTGAGGCTTGGGGGGCAAAGACATCCCCATTCTCTAGCTCTGTTCTCTTGGGCTTCCTCTCCCTGCTTCCTGTCTCCTGTGTCTCTGCACTGTGTTTCTCTCTGGTCTCTGGCTGCATCTCTGTGTCTTTCCCTGCTGTTTCCCACCCTTCGAACCAAAAGTCTTCAAAGTGAGGCCCCAGATCACATGCTGGGAGGACCCGCTAAGGAATCACACTGGAGTCAGTCAATCGATCAGTCAATCAGCGTCACTTCCCTTTTCTCTACCATGGCTGGTGTGCGTGAAGTCTGTCCCATTCTGCCTACCTCTGAATCTCTTGTCTGCCCCAGACTGCCCTGGAGTTACTCTGCCAGTGTTCAAATCCTGGCCCTCCTGTGTGACTCTGGGCAAACAACTTACCAGCTCAGTGTCTTCATCTGTAAAATAGGTGTGCCGGTCCTTACTTCATAGAGTTGTTGTGAGGATCAAATGAGGCATTGCACATTTAGACTAAGCACAGTGCCTGACGGGTAGTAAATGCTCAAGTGAGTATTAGTTGTTATTTTTAAATTACCATTGTTACTTCAAGCATTTAAGGAAAACAAGGAAGAAAAAAAAGCATGTTTTTTTTTTTTTAATAGAAGGGCTCTGTGGGCATGTCAACCCACAGTCCTCTGCCTCAAGGAAGTGAGGTCAAAGCAAAGAGTGGCCCGGCTTCGTTTACTCACTCACTCCCCCGAGACCGGGACTGCTGCAGACGGAAGGCTAAGCGAGGGCTGGACAGGGTGGGACTTGCGGATTAGCCTTGCCTGGGTTGTAGCTCCGTCACCGTGTAACCTTGGCACTCAGTTTTCTCACCTGTCCTATAGGGATGAGGATAACAGGTCTGACCTCGGGAGGTTATTGTCAGGATGTCGTGAGACGCTACATGATAAATGTAAGTTACTGATACTTTCCAGAGGGGCGGAACTGAAAGCCACCTCGGATGCCACCCAGGCCTGGCCCAGAGAGGAGCAGGGCTTTTCCCTTGGTAATCCTGAGGCTAGAGACGGGTGGCTGGGAGCCCCGGGTTCTAGCGAGAGCAGGGGCAGCACCGGAGAGTACCCGTGGGGAACAGACTGGCTCCCAACATCTGCCCTGCTTTGAGCAGCCAGGTGCCTTTGGGCAAGTCCCCACACCTCCCTGAGCCTCGCTTTCTTTAACGCTTAAATAGTATCCTCGTATCTCCTTCACAGAGCCATTTATGCATTTCCTAAAATGTACTTGTTGCTCATTTACTCTGAGCTGAGTCTGGGCTAGAAGTCACAGTGGTGAATAAGACAGATAAGTCCTTGCTGTGGTGGAGCTTACCTTCCGGTGAATAGAGACAGACAGCCTAGAAAGGTAGCAACTAAGACAATTTGGAGAAGAGCTCTAAGAAAAATGGAGCAGGGGCTGGGTAGAGCTGGACCAGGGAGGGTGGTGTGACATCGGACAGTGTGGCCAGGAAAGGCCTCTCTCAGGGAGTGACATTTGAGTGGCAACCTGAGAGATGAGAAGCTACTAGGGGAAGCTCCAGGTAGAGGGAACAGCAAGTGCAAAGGTCCTGAGGTGGGAGTGTGCTTGGTACACTCAGAGAGGAATAGCAAGGAGGCTTGTTGCCTGGAGGGCTGTGAGCGAGGTTGGGATGTAAGAATGGTCAACAAGGGCCAGAGTATGTGCCCCATATGGGTCCCCATGAAGAGGTTGGATTTTAAGTGAGTTGGAGATCACTAGGAGGCTTTTAGCGGGGAAGAGATAGAATTAATTTTATATTTTTAAAGGCTCTCTCTGGCAGAGGGAGGAGGCTGTTGAGTTGTGCAGTCTGGAGGGGATGCTTGGAGAGGAGGTCTGACGAGGAGTGGAGCCAGATAAAGTTCCAGACTCCTCCTGCCTGGCCTCGTACAGGCCTCGAGAATGGAACTGAGCCCAGATGAGGTTTTTAGCTCCTGAGAGCTGCATGTTGGGGACTTGGGTCATGAGAAGGGGGAGCATGCTGCTGAGCACGAGGTAGGCTCTGGAGTAAACCTGGCCTGGGCAGCTGGGTCTCACTCTCCATCTCTCTCTCTCTCTCTCTCATTCTCTCTCTCTCTCTCTCTCTCTCTTTCTCTCTCTCTTTATGAGAACTGCTGCTGCTATTACTCCCTGCAGACTTTACATAATTCTGGCCCAGCTCCCTCCTCATTATGTCATGCGCTGAGTGGAGTCTAGGTCACTGCAAGGCTTGCTGTGGTCGGAGCGAACAGCCTTCTGGCTCCCTGGCATGGCACCTGGGGCAGGCCTTCCCCAGACTGGGGTGGGGGCAGCGAGGCTTGCGGGGGTGGAGGTGCAGCCCAGCCCCAGCCCCAGGCCCTTGGGACAGCTCAGGAAAAGGCCAGGGCTTCCTGGGGTGGGCTGTGGCTTCCGAGCATTGAGGGTTGGAGGGCAGGGAATGACATCTCCCCAGAGTTAGGGGTCCTCCCCTGGAGCCCAGGCCCCTGCAGAAAGTCACATAGACTTGCTGCATTGCTCCTTGGAACCTCAGTTTCCTAAACTGTAAAATGGGGACAAAGACACTCACGCTCGTGGTGATGTGTGACTTCACAAGGCTCACGTGGGAGCAAGAACGGTAGGAAATGTTCTGAGGACAGAGGTCTAGGCACGTGTTGGGAGAAGGGCAGACAGAGCGGTCTCCCCCTCAGACTCTCTCGGGGTTGCCTGGGCTGCGGTCCTGGGGCCTAATGCCCTTCTTACAGGCAGTCTCCCATTTCTATCCCTCTCCTAGGCTCTGCCCCAGTCCCAGAATAGGCTTGAGCCTCCCCCTCCCCTTTGCACAGGTAAGGAGACTGAGGCTCAGAGGGGGCTGTGGTTCACTCAGGGTCGGTCACACAGCCCGGCATGGCAATGCCAGAAATGGGATCAGACCCCATAAATCCAGCCCAAGGCGTTTTCTGATGAGCTCACTTCTCAATGTGGGATGCCTGCTACCCTCGAGGATGCTGAAGAAGTTCAGGTCAGGGGGCTGGCCTGGGGAGGCAAGTCTGGCTCTACTTCTGCCCTTTTATACACATCTGATTGTTTCCCCCACTATGGGGAGTGTGTGTGTATGCGCGTGAGTGCATATTTTAGGCAAAAACAGTTTTGTTTTGCAGTTATTAAGAAATTTAAACACCAGCTACTTGCCTTACCTGGCCTCTGAGAACAAGGGACTAGGCCCTTTCTGCCTTCATTTTGTGGAATCCTCACAATAACGTTTGAAGACTAGGGTTGATTATACCCATTTTATAGGTGAGGAACTGAGGCCCAGGGTCATACAGTTGGCAAGTAGGGCCAGGGATTCATACCCAGCTCTGTCCATTCCAGGGCTCTCGCCTTTGCCTTACATGTGCTGTCTTCTTTAGAAGCTCCTGGGATTGGAGACTTGCCTGAACCCCATGAGCTCCAGCCTGTGTGGGGCAGATGCAGAAAGCAAGCCCCAGGCCGCTCTGATGTTTGACCCTGGGTTCCCAGGGAGACTTATAGGGAGTTTGAATTAAAGGGGAGCGGGGAGGATGCAGGGCTCATAACCCCCTATCTCAGTGTTGCTTAATATGCTCCACTCAGTGTTTACTAGGGATGGGGGAAGGTGGAGAGAAGAATGTGCCTCCCCCTCCCTCCCTGTTTCTAGAATTACTAAATTCTTGTTAGATCTTTAAATTTTATGTAAATTCTTCTTATTTTCCTTGGAAAGGTGGGGTATCATATTTTAATTAGTAGTGGTGTCAAAGGAGGGCTAGATTAATTATTGGAAATCCTGAGTTCCAGATGGTTTTAATTTTCACAGCAGGGCACCAGGGTATATATTTTTAAATTTTTTTATTAAAATCATACCTAGTGTATTTTAGGGGCACTGAGGTACACTCTTTGTGGCTCCAAGGATGCCGTATTTAGGGCTATGATTTTTGTTATGGAGAAGCAAGTCCCTTGTCACTGAAATTAAAAGTTTGTGGGTGAGGGAGGGGCAGGTGCTGGGAAGCAAAGGGTCAGAGATGGGAGGGTGAGAATTGGGGAGGGGGGTCATAGGCAAAGAAGGCAGCAGTGGGAGGAGGTGCTGGGGAGGGAACCAGGCACAGGAATTCAAGTCCAGAGAGAGAGCTCAGAGAGGGGACATGGCCTACCAAAGTCACACAGCCCCTTACTGGGGAGAAAATATGAATTGGCAGAGGGACAGAGAGGGGTCTGGACACGGTTTGCCTATTCAAGGGACAGTCACCCTTTGACTGTTTGATTTTCTTAGTCAGGCCTTGGGGCTTTAGCTCTGGACACCCATCTCCTGAGGAAGGCTCTGTGGAGAATGGGTGGTTTAGTGTGGGGTCTCCTACTCCAGATCAGGGGATATTGGGTCCTGATTGGGACTTCTGGGCTCCTGGAAGTTATCCTCCTTGCAGCCTTGGTGGCCTTGACCGAGGAAAGTAGAATATCCTGAAGAGAGCCTTCAGATCCCAGGGGCCTTGACCCTCCCCTCCCTGGACCTCCCCTACTTCAAGTGGCAAAAGTGTAGACGGGACAGTAGCTGGGGTTCTAGATGTTTGCCCTAGGGGAAGGGGCCTTTGGCCTACATTTTGGAGGGAGTAGGGTGATGTCCCCAAGGCATGGTGCGCGCATACCCATGCAAACTCGAGTGTCCAGAGATTGCTACTTCTCTGAGGTTATTCATGTGGCTGTCCGCCCCGTTTTGGGGAACAGAGGTGAGGGGCGGTGGGGCTGGGTGATGAGGGGACAAGGGCACACTGGTGTTTAGCCACAGGTGGCAGAACAACCCTCCAGCTGGAGCCATGTAGGTCCCAGTGGAGTCAAGAGAGGCTGGAGATGGAGAACAAATTGACGGATGGCTTCATCTCCCGAAGGGGCAGGGTGCTCCAGTGAGACCTCACCCATGCCTGTTGTTGGAGCCGTGAGGGGTCCAGGGACAGGGTCAAGGATCATTGCCCCTGGTAAAACAAATGTGTCTTGTTCTCCTTCTGCCTTTCGAAGCCCAGCTCCTAGTGGAGACAGACACCTTCGGTAGTCAAGTCCGGATCAAGGGCAAGGAAACGGAATTCTACCTGTGTATGAACCGGAAAGGCAAGCTCGTGGGGAAGGTGAGTGATGGTTGGGAACTCCCAGGGTATTTGGGTGGGATCCCCTTGGCAACTCTGGGGAGCTGGCGCAGGGTGCCCGAAAGGGAAAACAGGCCGAGTGAATATGTGTGTGTCTGAGAGAGATGCCAACTGTATGCTCTTCCTCTAGCCCCTTCTCTGCCACCACATCACAGCCTGCCAGGCAAGGGTATCCATGGCTGGGACTTTGGGGAGCATGTAGGGTCCCGGTCCCTCCTGCTGGATGTAGCCCTTGCGGGGTTTGGGGGGCTTCCTGCCTGCGTGTGCCTGCTGTCTGGGACCAGGGATGCAGCAGGCCAAGGGCTGGGGCAGCAGCACTGTTCTAACATTGCAAGAGGTACAGTGTCCTGAAGCCACCGCCTCATCAGCGCTGGGCCTCATGGCTCTAGCATCTCAGGAAGATTATATTCCTTTGGAGTAGGCAACAGAGCTGCATGTAACAAATAAGGGTGGGGGTGGACCCACAAAACTGGGGCTCTGAGCTCCCCCAGGGGCTGCTTGGTGTCCCCCTTTGTCCTGGGCATGCCTGTTTGTGAAGTTCATATACTTGCTTCCTTTGGATGTTCCAGTGGAAGGTGTTCCTGGCAGTCGCTGCCTGCTCGGCCTGCCCTATGGACCCTTCCCTTTGCAGGGACCCTACTCACCCCCATAGCCAACTTGTATGATGCTTCCTGTTGGGCAGGTAGAGTGAGGCTGGGTGGGGTTGGTCCTAATTCTAAAGAGGATGGCTTTTCCCGCTTGGGGGCGCGGCCTGGCTGCTGATCTGCATTTATTATACCTTGTTGGGAGAAGGAAGCACAGCCCCAGTTTCTGTTTATTTCTCCCCCCCCCTCCAATTCCTGTTTAACACATAGTTTCCGTTTCCCTGAATCCTCCAACTCTATCCCTCTTTCCCTCCTCCACACCCTAGTGGCTGGGGAGAGTTTAACAGGCCAGGGACTTGAGCCAGAGTATCGTTGCTTATTATTTGTTAATAATAACAGTACCAAAAGCTTCTGTTAATTGAGCACCTACTTTCTGCCAGGCGCTGTGCAAAAAAAAAGACTCCCAAGTAATCCCACGAGGGCGGTACCACTACCATGCTCATTTCGCAGATGTGAAAGCCGAGGCTTGGCCCCGGGCCCAGGCACTTGTCCCGGGTCCCACATTAGAGCTGGGCGGGATTCAAAGCCCAGCTCGGAAGGCAGTAGTGATCCCAGCCACACTGCCCACACCGCCTGAAGCTGCTCGCCGAGCACAATCTCAGTAATCGGCAGAGCGCGGCCCTGGGACGCCGAGGAGTGGTTTTAATTAGTGATTCACTTTCCGCGTCCCGGGGCGGCCGGCCGGCGAGGGGATCGGGGCAGGGGCGGGCCGGGCGCCGGGTCCCCTGGCCTGGCCGTGCGTTTCCTGTGGCGGCGCTGCCCGGCCCCGCGTCAGGCGCTTTGTTCTCCTGCCCGCCCGGGCCGCCTCCCAGGCCCGACCTGCCTGCGGCTGGCCGCTCGGCTTCCTTTTCTCGCGGCTTCCAGAAGCGGCGCGCGGCAGCCCGCCGTGCCCGGTGCCCGCGCGCCCCCCGCCCTCCCCGTCCCGTCTGCGCGCTTCCCGGCAGCTTGACCCCAGGAGGGCCGCGCTGGGGTCAAAAGAGCAGCCCCGCTCCCCGCCGCCCACCGCCCGCCCGCCCGCCGGCTGGCCGCTGAGTCACCGCTTCCACAGGAGCCGGCTCCGATTTCCTGCCCCCTCGCCCTCTCTCTCGTCATTAATATTGGGGACGGTTCAGCTGGCGCTGGCGCTGAGCTTGCTGGGCTCGGCGCAGCCCAGGGAGGGCCCCCTCCTTCCCGCTCCCCTCGCGGCAGCTCCCCCATCTCCCTACAGGCGCCTGGCTTCTGGGCTGGCCGGGGGGCCCAGGGATGCCCCCCAAATCCACCTGCCCCAGGATCGCCCCGGGCAGGCCCCCTGTTGGCCTCTGCGGAGCCCAGTGCTCCTTACTGTCTCTGGCCCCTGCAGCAAGAAGCCACAGGCTTTTGGGGTGCTGTTCTGTCACAGCCTCCTAGGCAGTCAGGCCCCAAGGTCCTGGGGTTACCCCTCCGTCCTTCACTGCTGCTCCTGTCTCCGTTCTCATCTCATATTTTGCCCCAGCTGCCCCAAGGCTGCCAGCCTCAGGCTTTTTTTGCCTTTGCCCACTACCCACCATCCATGTTCTAAAGCGCATCCCTTGTCCTCCACCCCCGACTCATCTCAAAACCCATCCCTGGGTCCGCACTATCTACCAGAGAAGGGCCACACTCCCTGGGGAGACACACAAGGCCCCGGGGGGCGGGGGGGTCTCCCTGGCCTCAAAGCCCTGCCACCCATCCTCACGGTTCTGAAGCCACGGACGCATAACACTGCCAACTGCCACCCCCCTGGATGGGGCTTTCAGCGGGCTTTGTACACGCTGTTCCCTCTGCCCAGATTGCCCTTCCCTGTCTGTCCCCAGTCCTGCTCAGCCTTCAACAGCTTCTCCCTTCCCTGACCCCTCCTCGGACAGCACACCCACACTGGAGCCCACAGTCCCCCCCACGGTCCTCTGTCGCCTGTCACTGACCTGACTTGTCACGTTTGCCTGTGTGCCTGCGCCTCCCAACTAGATCAAGAGCTCACTGAGAGCTGATTCTCTGTGTTCCCGGACGGAGAGCTGCAGAAGCACCCACCAAACCAGTAGAAAAATAGTTCTTGCTTTCCGAGGATGGTCTTAACCTACTGCAAGAATTATTCACGTCGGGCCAGGGAGTCAAGTGCCCTGACTGCTGAGCCTCGATGTCTTCATCTGCCGAATGGCAGTGATCTTGCTGGCATTTAGTGGGCACTTGTTACATATTCCTTCCCTTCCCCTTTGAAGGCAGGCCACGAAGTTACTCCTTCGCCTGTGGGAAGGAGTAACTTCATGGCCTCAGCTTAGGCTTTGGTTGCTCTGGAGTGGCCTAACTGGATAGCTTTCTTGGGCGGTCTTGACCATGGGTGCCAACCTTACACATCTTTGGCCCTGGCTGGTCACATGCATGGAGCCTCGAGCAGAGGCCTTTTCAGATGTTCTGGGCCCCGGCTGTAGCGACTTCTCTGCTGCATTGTCACAATCACATACCAAGGCTCTACGCTGAGCCCCTGCATTCTCAGGCAGCCCCTCTTCTTCCTGCCACCTTTCTGGGACCCTACATCCCTCTCACTCCCAAGAAGGAGTACACCCTCTCATTACATAAACAGGTGCTGGGTATGGAGCCCTTGGTGCTAAGTAAGCGCCCCCTGTCCCCATCTCTGACTATTCAATCCAATCGCCTATATGAGCCCTGGTGAACCTTCCTTGGACCAGGGCAACCGAGGGCCCCAGACCTTTCAGGGCAGAGGGGTACCCTGCCCACCACCCCAACTTTGTGAGGACTGTTTCAGTTGTAAGTGACCTAAACCCAACTCAAAAGGCCTTAAGCAAAAAAAGAATGTTTTGGCTCATCTAACTTAAAATGTGCAGGGGGTAGTTACAGTTTCAAGTAAGACCGGATCCGGGGGCTGAATGATGCCATCAGGATTCAGTCTTCAGATCAAATAGAAGGAATGGGACTCCGGTTGGGAAAGGAGGAGGTTAGAGGTCATGGGGCGGGGGGAGGGAGAGATGCTCAAGTTCTACCTAATCACCAAGGTTCTAGGATGGGATATTCATCCTGTAAATACTGACGATCTGCCTTGCCCGAACCAGTTGAGTCAGCATTTCCAGAGGTGAGGCCCCAGCACAGGTTTTTTTTTTTTTTTTCACTTTTTAAAAAACCTTTGCAGATAATATGCAGGGCCGTTACAGGCAGTCAGGAGCAGAGGTATGGGTCAAACCCAGGTGCAGCCTGCCTTTAACTTCGTATGTGCTATCTGAGTTCATGGGGGCGCTTATGACTGTCACCGGTGCCATGGCTCCTCATGAGGGGCTCCCGGGCTCTCGGGTGCTGGGAATTTCAGCTCTCATAAGTAGCCCCAAACACATACAAACACACGTGCCAGGCACTGTGCTAGCTCCTTGCACGTCCAGGACCTTGCGTGGGCCTTGGGGAGGTGAGGTGCCTTGACAGTCCGCTCCCACTCTTCTACGGCCTTTCTCCTCATGCACCTCTCTGGACAGAGGAGAAATGAGCCACGGTGGCACATGCAGGTTAAAACCCGGCTCTGCCTCTTGCAAGCCCCATGACCTTGGGCAAACCCTTTTGCCCTCTTTGAACTCTGTTTTCTTCCCGCGGAGAGAGCATCTACGTCAGCAAGTTGAGAGGACTCAATGAAATAATGCATGTGGAAATGTCTGGCCTATAATTGACCATTGATAAACGCTGAATGCGTGAGCGAATGAATGAGTAGGGAGACCAAGTGGGTCAAGCAGAGACTTTGGCCCTCTGCTTGCTGTGTCCCCTTCTTAGCACACCCCCAGAAGGGCCTGTCGTAGCTCACGACTGTCTCTGGGACATTAGTGAGGGATCCAGGAAGCAGAGCCTACTTTCTTTCAGAGGAAAGCCTGTTGGTGGGTCACCGCCACCATTTCTATCCCAGAACCCTTCGTTCGCTCAACCACAAATGCTCTGGGCGCCCGGACCTGTGCTGAGCCCTGAGGGCAGCTGATGAGTGGTCGTGACCTGCTCAAGCCCTTGGCTAGTGAGAAGGCAGGCAGATAAGGAATTGCCCTGTTGGGGGGTGGGAGGAGGAATGGGTGCCAAGGGAGAAGATGGAGCACAGAATCCAATCACTCTGGATGCTTGAATGGAGTCTTAAAGGAAGAAGAGGAAATACCCAGGGAGATAGAAGGCAGTGAAGGAAAGCTTCCCGGAGGAAGTGGTTACTGAGCGCAACCTTGAAGGATGAAAGTGGTCTTCCAGGCAGTGGCAGGCACTCCAGGGTGGGGAAACAGCATGGGACAAGGCTTTGTTCAGTTTTCTCTGACTGTTCCACGGAGACTGGCCAGAGGACCTGGGCCCAGGTAGGTAGGATAGGCAGCTTCCAGAATCATCCATGGGGGGCCCAGAGACCCCTCCCCTCTGCCTTGCGCACATGCCCTGCTCCCCTCACAAGAGTCCCTCACTGCTCACCCCTACACCGTGCTGCCCAACACGCACTGTCTTTTGGGGCCTATGTGCCTTCCAGTCCCACCCCCTGCCACCTCCGCAGCCTCCTTGAAAGATCTCAGCCTCCAGACAATGTTTTCTTACCCTGCCTGTCCCTTTCTGCAAAGTTCAGCACTTTGTCTGCAGGACCCAAGCCTGCCCTCCACTCAAAGGTGAACGTTCCTGGAAGCTCCAGCCTGGTTTCCACTTCAAACAAAAGGCTGGAACTCGCACCTCAGTCTCCACGCACAGCCAGACCGCCGGGCTTCCGACTTGGCCGGGTGTCCGTCCGTAACGAGGAGTGGGCCTGGCCTAAATTTGGAGACGTTAGTTGGAAACTCAAGTGCTGCCAATTCAGGCCTTCTACCTCTGTGTGCTTCCCACTCTTCTACATGGAGCAGTTCGGCTGTCCCCGGGCAGGCGGGGGAGGGGAGGTTCAAAGCCCTGCCTCCCACCATCCTTTGTCCAGATCCGATCCAGGGAGGGAGGCCAGAACCATCAGAACCACCTGCTCTTCAGAAATAGTTTAGCAGGTTCCTGCTATGCACGAGACTCCTTTGTAAGCTACATTCCTCCCAACATTTTCTGTGATGCAGGGGTCACTGTCCCTGTTTGGTAAGATGACGAATCCGAGGTCTAGAGAGTGGAATTAACTAGCCTGGGGTCACATAAGGAAGTGTTAGAGTCGATGCAGCATCTGACTCCAAATCTAGTACTCCTTGTCTGGCATCCCTTGTCTCCTAGGGAATTCACACATCTGCTTGGGAGCCTGCCATCTCAGAACCAAAGGCATAGGCTTCGGGGTTTGGCCATACAAAAACCCTTAGTTTCAGAGATCCCCACCCCTCTTCACACCAAACATTTAAAATGCACCATATCCCATATTAAATGGGATTTGAATTTAACTATATTGCAGTAGAGTTGAGTGGCAGTTCAGTAGCTGACTTTATATCAGGTTTTGTGCACATGTGCAGGGACTCCTTTCTGTTGCAAGTGACAGAACATAATCTCAACTACTTTAAAGGAAATGAGACATTATTGGCCCACATCACAGTGAGGTAATGAGCTGCAGATGCTGCTTGGTCCAGAGCCCAAAGGATGTGACCAGAACTTGATTTCTCTCATTCTCTTTGTCTTGGTTTTACTTTTTCTGTATTGGCTTTGTTGTCAGATGGCGTTTCTCCTCCTGGTGGTAAAATGGCTGCCTTCGCTTCAGCCTTACATTTTCCTCAAGTTTAAATCAGCCTATGTTTTTGGGGATTGCTTCTACAAGGGTCCTTAGGAACATTCTGATTGGATGACTCATGCCACATGCCCAACTCTGCACCAGTCCTGGGAATAATGTTTTATTGGCCAGGTCTGGGTCTCTTGTACTAGTAGAGTTGAGGTGGAAACCCTTGGCTCTAGGGTAGACGGATGGGTTCCTGAATGACGATGGGAATCTATTACCTAATTGGCAGGTAGAGAAGAAGGCAGGCGTCAATACGATGAGCCTACTCCACAGATCCAGGAAGTAAAGTTGCTGAGGACAAAGCTTAGGTCAGGCCCTCTCTACTCTCCCGAGCCAACCCTCAGTCACCTGTCTGTACGCTGTCCACATAGCTCTGCCCTTCATACCCACCCTCCCTGTCTCACATCGTTATTCTCTTGCCTCCTATAGCCTGATGGCACCAGCAAGGAGTGTGTATTCATTGAGAAGGTCCTGGAGAACAACTACACAGCCCTGATGTCCGCCAGATACTCTGGCTGGTACGTGGGCTTCACCAAGAAGGGGCGGCCACGGAAGGGTCCCAAGACCCGGGAGAACCAACAGGATGTGCACTTCATGAAACGCTACCCCAAGGGGCAGACGGAGCTGCAGAAGCCCTTCAAGTACACCACGGTGACCAAGAGGTCCCGGCGGATCCGCCCCACACACCCAGGCTAGGCTGGCCCTACTGCAGCCCCCCAGGCTGCTCCCAGGCCCACACTCACACTCACAAGAACTGCATCAGAGGAATATTTTTACATGAAAAATTAGGAAGAAGCTCTATTTTTGTACATTGTGTTTAAAAGAAGACAAAAACTGAACCAAAACTCTTGGGGGAGGGGGAGCGATAAGGATTTTACTGTTGACTTGAAACCCCGTCTGTGACAAAAGACTCGTGAAAAGGGACTGTTGTCAACGCACAGGTGCTTGGCTCTCTCTAGGAACCGACAACTCTAAACTCGTCCCCAGAGGAGAATTTGAATGAGGAAAACGACACTCTTGAGAAACCAAAGTCCTTTTTCCCAAAGGTTCTGAAAGCAAAACAAAAACAAAAACAAAAACAAAAAAAAGAAAAAAAGAGAAAAAGAGAAAAACAAAGAGAAAGTAGTACCCACCCCCAAACTCCCCTTCTTTTCCAGTCCCCTCTCCCTGTCCCAATCTCCAACAAAAATCGCTCTCTGGTTTGCAGTCATTTATTTATTGTCTGCTGCAAGCTGTCTTCAGACACCGCGCAGGGAAGGCGTGCCCCTTGGAATTCTCGGCGCCTCGACCTCCGACGACAGACGGCCTCGTCCAATCAAGTGACCCTGCATTGCTCGCAGTTCTGGAGGATGCTGCTATGGACCTTCCGTGACTCACATGACCTAGTACACCAATGATAAGGGAATATTTTAAAACCAGCTATATTATATATATTATATATATATAAGCTATTTATTTCACCTCTCTGTATATTGCAGTTTCATGAACCAAGTATTACTGCCTCAACAATTAAAAACAATCGACAAATTATTTAAAAAACCATGAGGTGAGTGGTGGTGGGGGGTGGGAGGGGCACATACAGAGCTCAGACAGAGTGGCCCCTTTGTGTTTCAGTCTTCTTGGTCTTGGTGCTGAGAGCTGGGACCTCACTCATTCATTCATTCGCTGATTCACTCCCCCCTTTCCCGCCAACTCCCCCATCCCCACCCCACCGTGCTTCCACGCACTGTTCTAGGCCCTGGGAATGCAGCCTTAGCCAAAGAGATCTTTACTTCTGGAAATCCTCGCCTTCAGAGAGATTACATTCTAACGAGTCACTGATTGGATGACTGATTCAGTCATAGGGTCACACACATTTGCTCCGTACCTCCTGTTATTCTGTGTACTGGGCATTTATCAAAGATAACACCAGAAAAATTCCAGCCTGCAGAGAACGTCAGGTATTCACTGATTCATTGCTTCATTCATTCATTTATTGATGGAACTACTTATTCAACGTCTATTTATTAAGGTCTTACTGAGTGCCAGGGACTGTTTTAGGTACTGGGAATTCATCAAAGGACAAAAGAGACAAAAATCATGGAGCTTGCAGTCTAGGAGTTATTGCTTGAGTCGTTTGTGCAGCCCATGTCTGGATTCTGCCAGGAACAGGCTGAGCAAGGCGGTGGGGCCCTGTTCCGTGTCTGATGGCAGAGGAGTCACAGGGCCCAGGTCCACTGAAGACCTGGTGTCCCTCTCCTTAGAGGCTCATGCACTGGAGCGTAAGGAGTCTGTCTGCCTCTAAAACTTCCAGGGGCCCTTTCATCTAGGTCTCCTTCCCCAGGGCCTGGCCAGGGTGAAGGGGAGGAGCCGGCTTGGCCTCAGGAGTAGGAAGCAGATTGGGCAGGAGGTTGACTGAGGAGGAAGGTGCCTTCTGTAGGGTCCTGCTGCTGTCACCTGCCTTCCTTGAAGCCTCCTGCCAAAACTGACCAGGAGAAGCCCCCGTGAGCCTTACAGAGAAGAAGGAAAGAGTGGGGCGGGAGCATCTTCTCGGCAAAGGGCTCCTGGCTGGACCGAGGCTTGGCTCCTGAACGGCTCCCTCTGCAACACACGTCAGAGCTCGGGCCAAGCACAACACTTGGTTCTGTCCTTCCTCCCTGCATTATGAGGGTCCCTCCCCCTCCCTGGGTCCTGTCCTGTGTGTCACAGCACATTTCCTTAGGGCTTTGTGAAGCCCTTTCAGGTGCACGATCTCATTGCAACCTCAGGACAAGCTGCGAGGAAGATACTATCGTTATACCCATTTTATAGATGAAGGAGACTGAGGCTCAGAAACATTTAGCAGCTTCCTCAAGATCACAGAATAAGAAAGCGCTGGGGCTGGTGTCCAAATCCTACCTTCTCTAGGATTGCAGTAGCTGCCACCAGGTGAATGCCTACTGTGTCTCAGATGCCCTGTTGGGTACTTTACACACCTGGGCATCCTGGTGTGGGCGATGGTTACTCTGGACTGAAGTCCAGAGAGACCATCAATGTGTCCAAGGCCTCAGTGAGTGGGTGACTGAGCCTGAGACACCTGGTGATAATAATTGTGATGGTAGTTGTCATTTATTGAGCACCTACTCTGTGTCAGTTCCTTTCATATCCTATTGTTTAATTTAGACATTAACCCTATGAGATGGGTGTGCACTATCTTTTGCACTGGAAGTTTCAGATAAGTGAAATGACCTGCTCAAAGCAATTCAAGGTAGAAAATCGGGGAGTCAGAATTCGGTCATTTATTTATTCATCCAAGAAATGTGTTTAGTTTACTCTGTGCCAGATGCTGTTCCAGAGGCTAGAGATACAGCAGTGAACTAAGTAGAGCCTCTGTCCTCATGGAATTTACATTCCATTGGGGAACGTCAACAATAAATCAAATAGATAAAAATATGTCAGATAGTGGTATATCATAAAATAGGGCAAAGGGATAGAGGGGATGGGGATGCTATTTTAGATAGAGTGCTCAGGGAAGACCTCTGGAGTGGGGGGCACAGGCAGACACTGAGGGGAAGAGCATTCCGGGCAGAGGAAACAGGGAGTGCTAAGGTTTGGAGGCCTGTCGTGAAAAAAGGAGGGGCCAGGGGGGTAGAGCATAGTGAATGGGGGAGAATAGGCAGAGTTTTGGAGAGGGCCAGACCTTGATTTGGGCTTTTTTGTTTTTTAAGTTTATTTATTTATTTTGAGAGAGAGAGTGAGAGAGAGTGTGCGAGAGAGCATGAGCAGGGGCATCAGAGAGAATGGAGAGAGAGGACCCGAAGCAGGCTCTGAGCTGTCAGCACAGAGCTCGAGGTGGGCCTTGAGCCCCCAAACCGTGAGGTCATGGTCTGAGCCAAAATCAAGACTGGGATGCGGAACTGATGGAGGCACCCAAGAGCCCCATGACGGGCTTTTATTCAGAGTGAGATGGGGAATCACGTGCTGTGTGCCTTACACGGTCAAGGGGCTGCTCTGGGTACTGTGCGGAGGACGTCGGCAGTTTCCAGCCTGGGGCTGCCTGATGCCATAATCCGGGCTCTCACCATACCCTGGGCTGCCTTCTGCTGCTGGCTCCGCCCACCCATCACAGGCTGCTGGCGTCTCCCACACCCAGCACCCTGCCTTTGCTCCATCTCATGGAACAATTGGTCCAGTGGTTATTTTCATCTCCTGCCCATCTAGAGGGGAAGGTGTCGGCCCAGCTTCTGTTTACTCTAGACGCAGCTTTCTGGATATATCCTGAGCAATGAGAGATATGTTAATGACAGGCACAGGGGGCTGGTGGAAAGATTTCCCAATCACGGGTAATGTCTGAGGGTGCTCACTTGATGGAAGTCACAGACCAGCTGAGTAAGGAGCTTTTTCAGAGCACCTATTATGTACCAAGAACAATCTTACTGAATCTACCTCACAGTCTTTGGGGTGGGCATTCTTAGCCTTACTTTACAGAGCAGGATCAGAGAAGTGGCGTCACTTACCTGAGCTCACACAGATAGTTAATAAAGGACCAGGGATTTGAGCCCAGGTCTATCTGATTCCTAGAGCTTGGAGCTCTCGGTACCTGTCCAGGGTTTTAGTCTTTCCCCTCCCTCCTGCCTCCCCACTCCTGTCTTGGCGTTCATCATTTCCCAACCCACCAGAGGGCGGAGGCAGATTTATACCACAGTCCCGGGTCCCTGGATCCTTTCCAGGATGTCAGTGTCACAGGGTACAGGGATCTGGGACCTAAGGGACCTGAGTTTATTCTCAGCTTGGCCCTTTGCCAGCTATGTGACCTTGAGTAGTATTCCCTCATCAGCCCAACTGTTTTCACCTCCCAGGGCCAATGTAATGTTCAAAGGAGATAGCAGAGGAAATAGTTGGGGATTATTCCAGCCCCGTAAGAGCTGGAAGGCATCCGCGCTGGTGTTTTACCTGCCGTCTTCTCTCCATTCCTTTCAACCCCATTGCTTTAGAGGGCAAACCATCACAACACAGACACAGAGAGCGACTTGCTCCAGAGCACCCAGTGAGTTCATGGCAGAGCCCATTAGATGACCAATGAATAGTAATGGTAGCAGTTAATAAACACAGTGGAATATGGCAAAGAGAGATGAGTGAAGGCTCTTCTAGAGAGTCAAAGGCAAGTTCAGTGGCCAGCCAGGTCCCTCTTAGCATCCTTCCCAAATCTGCTTCTCTGACCCAAGGAAGCAGAGGGCAGGGAGGAAAGGGCTGAGGTTTCTGGGTCCCGGATCCTACCTCTCTGCTCTTTACCCCATAGTGGTTCCATGTGACCAAGTGCCAGAGGTGAGGAAAGACGGGGACTTACTTCAGCATTTCAGGGGGTCAGCATGCAGGAATAGTGGGACTGGCCCCCAAAAGGGAGAGAAGTGGGTTTGAGGATGATGGTCCTTTCTCTACCTGCCCCACCGCTGGGATTCAGTCTTCTCCCTCTATGGCCACCCATCCCCCGACCACTGGCAAAGGAAAGGGAAGTGATGTTTACGGGGCACCTAATCTAGATGGACTCATGATCTGTCTGTCGAGATGGTTCCTGGTGCACAGTGAGCACTTGGTGCCCTAGCTATTACTGTGATCTCATTCAATTGGTACAAGAACTTGGCAAGATAAGTGTCAAGAGGCCTATTTTGTTGGCGGGGAAACTGAGGCCTATAAAAGAATGTGATTGGCCCCAGGTCCCATGGTAGAAAGTGACAGAGATGAGATTTGAACGCAGGCTTCCCTGTTCTCCCTTCCCACTTCCCCACCGTTTCCTTCCATCCCTTTGTTGGGAGTGCAGAGGGCAATAAAGCCCCAAAACTTGGAGCAAGGGAGACAAAGTGTCCCTCCTGTGTGCGTGGGAAGCGTGACAACCAGGAGAGGCTGTATCTGGGGGTGTTCCTGCCAACCCAGGTGAGCCTGGGCAGGGGGAGGCGGCAAAGCCCCAGGCTGAGTGCAGGAAGTTGGGGGTGGAGATGCCTCCTGGCTGCCTGCACAGCTGGAGCCTAATCAGACGGGCCTGGGGTGCCCGGGGCTTGAAAGCCCCATAAACTGGGCAGAGCCCTCCCTCCCCAGGCGTAGGAGTGGGGCTTCCAAAGAAACAATGGTGAATTAGGTGCGAAAGATGTGAGGGCTGCTCCCCAACTATGCAATTAGGTAGTGGGTCTGCTACAAACATTAGGCGGGGAGCTGGGACCAGATGTCGGCAAGGCTCACCCTGGGCTGTCCTGTCCCAGAACTGCCTGGCCTCCTGGCTGAGGTTTCCAGCTCTGGTCAGGAGGGAAGGCTGCAGGTAGCCCGGGTGTGTGGCCCCCTGCAGAGCAGGCCAGTGGTTAATCAGACATTCCTCCTCTCCTTCAGGGGAGCTCCTTGGGCCTAATTAGCACTTGCTAGAATTTCTGCCCACCTCCTCTGCTTGCGGAAGAAGCCACTCTTTCAATGCTCCAGCCTCCCAGGCTGAGCAGTCTGTGGCTGCTGGCCGTGGGTCACCGTCTGGGCTGGGTCAGAGGCCCAGGCTGATTTTAAAGGCTGTCACAGACTGA